CTTTTAACTCTGCCACTCCATAAAATATTACCACCTGCACCATTCCTTGTAAATTAGATTTTGTACTAACTATACATAAGATTTAGTAAGTCGAAATAAGATTGTAAAACAGCTAACCACTATTCTGTTTAGTTTTAAGTAATAATTACTATGTACTATTATCTTTTCTAGTTTTAATTAGTTACTATGTATTAGGATTAGTTTGCCCGAAATGCCTCGGCATGATAATGGCTATCTTTGTACTTAGCATATCAAAATTGTAATTACACATTGTAACCTTTACAATGAAATAAAATTATTATTATTATTATTACTTTTTTATTATTATTATTATCACACTGGCCGATTCCCACCAAGGCAGGGTGGGCCGATTCCCACAAAGGCAGGGTGGCCCGAAAAAGAAAAACTTCCACCATCATTCACTCCATCACTGTCTTGCCAGAAGGGTGCTTTACACTACAGTTTTTAAACTGCAACATTAACACCCCTCCTTCATTATTATTATAAGAGAAGTCGTGAAGTGCTTCCCACATACATACCTATCATAGGTATGTGTGCAAACAAAATATGACACACTGAGTTTGCTACTATCTGCAGTTTCAGGTATCAACAGTAAGTCTCAGAACGTTTCCCCTACAGATATTGGAGTCCTTCTGTACTCACTTTTAGCATAAATTGTGAAAAATCTACAGTACAAATTCATGAATCTCATTATTGCAGATTCTGAACTAAGCAACAAAAGTTCAACAGGAATACCAAATTTCAAGATAGTTACTATTGTGTGCCACAGTAGCCTGTGAAACTTAGACTGCTCACAAAAGCATCCACACCATGTGAGGCAACCCCCACATCAAGGGCCCTGGTGACCAAGTTATAAAATACCTGGATCTCAAAACTCTACAGAAATTATTTTCGACCCAACATGGATCTACACACCCAGTTTCTACAAAAGCAGATACTGTCGGGTGGAAACCATTGATACAGTTGACATGGAATGAGCTTCTAGAAAGACAGTCTAATGGAAGATGGCTGCAGTTACAACAAATTTTCTTTCAAAAGATGTAATATGAAGGGACATAGATTTAAGATGTGGTACTGCACTCACCTGACTGTCAGTGAAATTCTGTGGCTGAGGTCCACCAGGGGCAGGCAACAGGGTGGGTGAGTCCATGGGCATACTGGTGGCCATGTTATTGTAGTCATGTCCTGCAGGGGATGAGAAGGGACCACCAGCTCCACTCATGCTAGGGTCTAACATGCCTGCAGGGCCCCCCATGCCACCAACAGCTCCACCGCCCACACCGTCAAACCCCGGATGATCAAGATGCCCTAGAACTTGTGCCCCAGGACCACCCATTACCACGCTGCCACCCACCAGCTCAGGCTCCTTGACACCCACACCTGGCACCATGCCATTCTTGTTGATGTCTTCTTCCGATGGTGATCCCTGTCTACTCCCCGGCGTCCGGCTGTGGGATTGCAACACACTACTATCATTAAGCATGCCTATTAATTTCTTATGAGGACCTGTTTATAATTTCCCCATATGCTACTTGATTCCTAAGCAGTGACTTTAATTTACCAGGGTAAGGCCCAAAAAAATGATTTTTTTTTTAGTGTCCTTCTGGTAGAATAGGATTGTCAAGTTTCCACAATTGCTTGTTCATAAAAACTTTCCTTACTGGTCAGGCCTGCCTTTCATATGCTTAATTATATATGTTATTACAAACTGAATTGGCTTGTTAAATATTCATTATTTTTTTACCGTTCTTCAATCTTGAGTCATCTCCATGAGGAATAGAGTGAAGAAATCTGATACAAATATTTTTCACTCACTTTCAAAAAAGTGAGCCATGTCGGTGCCTCCTAAAGTGATTTGACTGTTGAAACTCTTCAAGTGTGTTTCATTATAAAATTTTATCTTCCATACAATAAGCCCATAGTCGATTGTAGGCACACAGCACACACACTTGCCTCCATTACTTAATAATTCCTTATAAATAGGAAGGGATTCAAGGAAATCTTAGCACAATAATTTAAGCAATACAGAATAAAACTGTATCCAGCATTATCAGATCAAAAGAAACGAAGCTACAGGAAAGTGAGCCTAATTTTTTTTTAATGAAAACTGAAATGACCAAAATTATTACATAAAAGACAACACCACTGAGCAACGTCACAAAAATATAATGAGTGAAAGATATTTTGAAGATGGAAATAAAAACTATGTATCAATAGAAATTACTAGCATTCCTTTTGATTCACTAAAGAACAAGAGGAAGATACCAGTGCATACAGGGTAATTTAAAAAACGAGTAACAATAATTAAAACCTTAAAACACACAGAGTGCAAAATAACTAAACATGAACATAATTACAGTGAACAAGATTTTGCATATTTACAAAGCCAAATGATGCAAAAAGAAACATAAATATGGTCGGTCAAGTTAAACAAGTTGCTAAGGTTGGTGGATGAAACTGGGAAGGTATGTTAACCCTTTCAGTGTCGAGACCCCTGATCCTTAACTCACCGAAAAAAAAAGCAATGATAGAGAATCTTTTTTTGGTGGTAATGACACCAAAAGTACAAAATTTGATGGAAAACTTACAAAATTATATTCTCATGCAGTTAGTGATCTCAGTGATATTTACACATCAACGATTTTGCCCAATTTGAGCCCTACTTTCAGCTAATTCCATTGTTCCAGTCGACTCAAATCATAGCTATTTCACTAGAACTCCATTTGTTTTATCATTTGAATACAAGAAACTGCCCAATAATTACAAAAAAGGCACAATACCGTGACTGGAACAATACACAAATAACCCGCACATAAAAGAGAGAAGCTTACGACGACGTTTCGGTCCGACTTGGACCATTGACAAAGTCACACTGACTTTATCAATGGTCCAAGTCGGACCGAAACGTCGTCGAAAGCTTCTCTCTTTTATGTGCGGGTTATTTGTGTAAACTGCCCATTAACCGGTTTCAAGTACCCAATAAGGTGATCAGAAATTGGCAATTTGGCCGATTTCACACAAATTTCAAAAGATGCCAATTTCAAAATAGGGTCCAGAATAAACAAGGCAGACATTCCTGGCACCAAAATAACATTTCCTCTGTTCATTAGTAATGTCTCCAGGCCCCTCTTATATTACTCTTGTTTTCCATTTTGAATTTTTATTCTCGCAAAAAATATAAGATTTACTGTTTGCAGACTACTGCATTACAGCCTCTCCTCACTTAGCGACGTACAGTGGACCCCCGCATACCGATTTTAATCCGTGCAAGAGGGCTCATTGGTATGCGAAATAATCGCATACAAGTGATAAGGAAATGTGTAGAATTTTTAACACATACTTCCTCTCAGTTTTTACACAGGAGGATACCAGCGATATTCCAGTAATGATAAATTATGTAGAACAGGACGATAATAAACTGTGCACTATTAGGGTCACAAGTGACATGGTCCTTAGGCAAATAGATAAATTAAAACCTAACAAATCCCCAGGCCCTGATGAACTGTATGCAAGGGTTCTAAAGGAATGTAAAGAGGAGCTTAGCACACCTTTGGCTAATCTTTTCAACATGTCACTACAAACTGGCATGGTGCCAGATAAGTGGAAAATGGCAAATGTGATACCTATTTTCAAAACAGGTGACAGGTCCTTAGCTTCGAACTATAGACCAATAAGCCTGACCTCCATAGTGGGAAAATTTATGGAATCAATAATTGCGAGGCAGTTCGTAGCCACCTTGAAAAGCATAAATTAATCAACGAATCTCGCATGGTTTTAAAAAGGGGCGTTCCTGCCTTACGAATTTATTAACTTTTTTCACTAAGGTATTTGAGGAGGTAGATCATGGTAATGAATATGATATTGTGTATAGGACTTCAGTAAGGCTTTTGACAGGGTCCCACATCAGAGACTGTTGAGGAAAATTAAAGCACATGGAATAGGAGGAAAAATTTTTTCCCTGGATAGAGGCTGGTTGAAAAATGGGCAGCAGAGAGTTTGCATAAATGGGGAGAAATCGGGAGGGGGGAAGTGTCACGGCGGTGTTCCACGGGGGTCGTGTTGGGCCCCCTGCTGTTCACAATCTACATAAACGGACATAGATGAGGGCATAAAGAGCGACATCGGCAAGTTTGCCGATGACACCAAAATAGGCCGTCGAATTCATTCTGACGAGGACATTCGAGCACTCCCGGAAGATTTGAATAGACTGATGCAGTGGTCGGAGAAGTGGCAGATGCAGTTTAATATAGACAAATGCAAAGTTTAAATGTTGACAGGACATAACCATGCCACATATAAACTAAATAATGTAGATCTTAATATTACGGATTGCGAAAAGATTTAGGAGTTCTGGTTAGCAGTAATCTGAAACCAAGACAACAGTGCATAAGTGTTCGCAATAAAGCTAATGAATCCTTGGCTTCATATCAAGAAGCATAAATAATAGGAGTCCTCAGGTTGTTCTTTAACTCTTTACATCCTTGGTTAGGCCTCATTTAGATTATTTTGCACAGTTTTGGTCCCCGTATTACAGAATGGATATAAATTCTCTGGAAAATGTACAAAGGAGGATGACAAAGTTGACCCCATGTATCAGAAACCTTCCCTATGAGGATAGACTAAGGGCCCTGAAACTGCACTCTCTAGAAAGACGTAAAATTTTGGGGAGATATGATTGAGGTGTAAAATGGAAGACAGGAATAAATAAAGGATGTAAATAGTGTGCTGAAAATATCTAGCCTAGACAGGACTCGCAGAAATGGTTTTAATTTGGGAAAAAATTCAGATTCAGGAAGGATATGGGAAAAGTACTGGTTTGGTAATAGAGTTGGGATGAGTGGAACAAACTCCCAAGTACCGTTATAGAGGCTAGAACGTTGTGTAGCTTTAAAAAATGGGTTTGGTAGACAGCAACCACCCAGGGAGGTACTACCGTCCTGCCAAGTGAGTGTAAAACAAAGCCTGTGATTGTTTTACATGATGGTAGGTTTGCTGATGTCTTTTGTCTGTCTCAAAAATATGCAAGATTACAGGCATGTCTTGCTACTTCTACTTACACTTAGGTCACACTACACATACATGTACACATTTATTTATACACACTCATCTGAGTTTTCTTTGATTTTATCTTAATAGTTCTTGGTCTTATTAATTTTCCTTTTATATCCATGGGGAAGTGGAATAAGAATCTTTCCTCCTTTACCCATGCGTGTTGAAAAAAGTCAACTAAAATGCCGGGAACAATGGGCTAGTAACCCCTTTTCCCTGTAAAGATTATAAAAAGAATAAGAAGAAGAAAATTGTCAAAGGGGGAAGTCTGAATGTGCGTGGATGTTGTGCAGATGATAAGAAAGAGATGATTGTGGATGTTATGAATGAGAAGAAGCTGGATGTCCTGGCTTTAAGTGAAACAAAGCTGAAGGGGGTGGGAAAGAGTTTCAGTGGAGAGGAAAAATGGGATTAGGTCGGGGGTTTTTCAAATAGAGTTAGAGCAAAAGAAGGAGTAGCAATAATGTTAAAGGAAAAGCTATGGCAGGAAAAGAGGGACTATAAATGTATTAATCAAGGATTATGGGGATTTAAAATAAAGATTGGATGTAAAAAAGTGGGTTATAATAAGCGTGTATGCCCCTGGAGAAGAGAGAAGTGTAGAGGAGAGAGAGAGATTTTGGAAATGTTGAGTGAATGCGTGGGGAGTTTTGAATTCAAGTGTGAGAGTAATGGTGGTGGGGATTTTAATGCTAAGTGGGTAAAAATGTTATGGAGGGAGTAGGTAGGTAAATTGGGGTGCCAGGGGTAATGTAAATGGGGAGCCTTTAATTGAGCTATGTGTAGAAAGAAATTTGGTAATAAGTAATACATATTTTATGAAAAAGAGGATAAATAAATATACAAGGTATGATGTAGCACGTAATGAAAGTAGTTTATTAGATTATGTATGGTGGATAAAAGGTTGATGGGTAGGCTCCAGGATGTACATGTTTATAGAGGGGCAACTGATATATCGGATTCATTATTTATTTTGTAGCTACAGTTAGAGTAAGAGGTAGATGGGAAAAGAGGAAAGGGTTTGGCAACAACAAGTAAGAGGAAGGGGAAAGTGTATAAACTAAGGGAGGAGGAAGTTCGGGTGAGATAAAAGCGACTATTGGCAGAAAGGTGGGCTAGTGCAAAGATGAGTAGGGGGGGGGTTGAAGAGGGTTGGAATAGTTTTAAAATGCGTATTAGAATGTGGGCAGAAGTTTGTGGTTATAGGAGGGTGGGGGCAGGAGGAAAGAGGAGTGTTTGGTGGAATGATGAAGTAAAGGGTGTGATAAAAGAAAAAAGGTAGTAGCTTATGAGAGGGTTTTACAAAGCAGAAGTGTTATAAGAAGAGCAGAGTATATGGAGAGTAAAAGAAAGGTAAAGAGAGTGGTGAGAGAGTGCAAAAGGAGAGCAGATGATAGAGTGGGAGGGGCACTGTCAA